AAAGTAGTTATGGAGTTATCTCGACTGAAACAAGAAGAAGAAAGATGAACAATTTGGTGGGTTGGTCACTTTCTAAGATGCTTTCTTAGCGATGGTTTCTTGCCTTGTTTTTAGGCTTGTTGAGTAAAGAAACAAGTGAAAGTTAGTGGCAATCATCTTTTAAAGTAAAACTCTGTCAATGTCAAATTTTTAGTATGATATTTGTAGATCACGTCAAAACATGTACGTGTAGAGTTGAAGCCGTTTGGCTTCAATAAAGTTTTTATTGTGTAAATATAAAACGTTGTTTTTAATTATTTATTATAATTTATAAAATTGTTTTTTACTATTATAAGTAGCATGTTATGCATGTAATGACTATCAAATGTTTGCTTTAATTTACTATATAAAAGAAAACTGTAATAACATTTAAAAGAACAATTTTATGCCATGTCTAAAATATTTTTGAATTTTGGGGATTCTTAACATAGGAGGAGAGTTGTTTGACAGGAACAGTCAACACAACTGTCAAGAGAAGAGTAAAGAGAAGGCCTTCAGTTATTCATCAGGCTAGAAAGGTAGTCAATTCACAGGAAAAGAGTTTACACAAGTCCATGCTGTCTCGTTCGAGACTTGGGAGCTGTAAGTATTTGTAAATTAAAGATACATTCAGTGCATTGTGTTAAATTTTCTTTCTTTCATAATCCGATATTGTAGTTGAAAACCTTGTGTAAAGTGTTTTAACCTTTTTGTATCTGTGTGTATGTATTATAAATAGAAATCATGAACTAAGTTTTTCTTTCAGTTAACTTCTCTTTTTAAGCTCATTTATATGAAATACTAAATTGCAAAGTATCTTGGAAATTACGAACTGAAATATGAAAAATACATTCTTTAGTAAAATAAAATACTAATGACCCTTTAGTAAAGACTGTGTTGGAGTTAGTTGTGTCTTTAGTACTGCTCATAATGTTGAGCTCTAAGTTGTGTCTAATATAAGGTCAGTTCTTGCCTATTAGACAACTTAGTTTTTCTTCCCATCCCCCTCCCTTTCACCAATCTAGTTAAGTCTAAGGCTACGTTTACATTTTTAGAAATCCCACAAACTAGCTTTTATGTTGGAGATGGCCACTAGTTTGTTCCAATGACCATAAAGTAGGTGTTTTAGAACTGTTAATGATTGTAACCATTTTTTATAGTGTAAAAAGGTTCATTGCTTTGAAACTTGGGTGTTTAATGCTACTTTATTATTGGAGTTTGTTTTAAACTGATTATGTAACCTACTTGAGTACTTTTCGTATAAATCAGTGGATGTCTTCTTAAATTTGTCAGTAAAACACTATTAAGTTAACTACTCACTTTGACTGGCAAATTTTGTTTTACTTCACATTTTGGACTCATCAAGTCTGAGAGTTTGAATGAAAGAGATAATTTATGGCATTGGTTTTCACAACCAGGAAAAATATTTTCATTAAATATGTAATTAAAACATGCTTTGTAACTACTGTTGTAAAGAAAAGTGAAAAATTTGAAGCATACGTTTGGCTTTTTGTAATTGCTGAATATGTGTGCAGCATATATTTAAAAATAACCAGACTGTTTGTTACATCTCTAGTTTTTGATGTGGTTGGTGCTCTTGAGAAGATATTGTACAAGTGTGTGTATTTTACTAGGTGTGTATGTTGTATTTTACATCTGTTGTTAATCAGTGATCTGATGTTTAGGTTTTTTTACTGTTAGTTTCCTCATTCTGTTTTTTTTTTTGTTTTTTCTTGTAGAATTTAATATTGGACTTGCTGTCATTTTATGATGTTTTTCCTGTAGTTATTGAATTATTACATAATTAATGAGATGCCCTCCACCAGTTAGCAGATACTGCCATGTCTTCTGGATATTTACTGGACTTCAGTCTCATAACATTCATCTTTATGAAGATATCTTGTCAGATGAGAAACATGTGGAAGAAATAATATCTTTTTTTTCAGCAAATAAACTTCCATTCAGCAGCATCACTATCATTTCATTGTATTCTCAAAGTTTTGGTGTTTATAAAGCAATTAAAAATGTGTCTTGTTTGGTTTTTAAAGACATGTTCAGATCCTTTCAGAATTTATCATTTTATCACTAAGGAGATTTGCTATTTCCATCTTGTATTCACTTTTACCACATTCCAACGTTTTCTGTTCTCAGGTACAAATCATAAGAGAAAAATCCAAGCTTTGCTAGCTAACAATAAAGCCTTGGCTCAAGCTTTAGAGGTTTCCAAGTGTGAATTACGTCAGAGAGATGAAGTTATCCTAGAATTGTGTCGTCAAAATAGCTTAACAGTACCTACGGTGAGGAATAGTTCTGAAAGATTCTTATTATACTTTCCATTTTAGGTTGCCAAAAATTTCTAGTGATAGTGAATGGTAATAATAAACATATAGTATATTGTTTATTGGATATATATTTTAATGAATGAATATTATTAAGAAATCTTGTTAAATATGTAAAAAGTAATATAGACCATTCTATACCAACCCAATCAATATTTTTGACTTTTTTGGTATATATATATGAATAAATTAATTATATTTTTTTTGTTTGGAGACCCATTTACATGGGTTTTCATATCATGCTTTCATTTTTTGACTTTCCCAGTAGATCTTTTCATACAAATTAACTTTATATAAAATTAGATTATTTCAAAATAAAAGATAAACAGTGGTGAAAAACAAACAAACATCCCCAGTCTTTAATTGATGAAATATCAAGTTTTACAATCTTGTGTTTGACTCTACTGGGACTACTGAACTCCTTCCAGATATAGAGTACATACCTGAATATGAAAGTTCAAGTTTTTAATCTATATAACATGGCATATAATACTACATTATTTTACTGGTTCGTTTGGGAGGGGGAGGGTTCTTTCAAATTTTATATTTTTCTTATACTTTCACTTATTACATGTGCCAAGCTTTGTTAAAACTTTTTAGAAAATGGTGCAGATATCACTTCATTCTACTCTGTGCTGTGGCAGTAGGGTTAAGCCTGACACAGGTGTGTTACATGAGGATTCTCCATTCTATTACTTATATAGCTCATTACTAAACAAATATGGAAATTATTAATGGGTTATTCACTGAATTGTTTACTTGGCCAAAACTTTGGACAGATTTAGGACATTATTTGCAAATTGAACTAATTGACTCCTGTTTTTTGGTAATCAAGTGGACCTGAAAGGATAATGGGTAGCTAATATGGAGTAGTCTTACTGTGGAGTAATGTCATGATGAAAAGTACACGTACATAAGAAAAGTGTGTGTCAAACTACCTAATAATATATGTATATATGAAGGGGTTGTTACTGCTCAGAGTGTATTACAGGTCAGCTGGAATATGATCTTATGGTAGGTTACAGAAACTAGTGTGATAAAATATGCCTATTTAAAAAATATATTATTCCAGAATTTAGTTTTAAAGTTTATATGTGTCATTTAAATTTAATCTGTAACGTTAAATACTTTTCTTTTATATTCATAGTTAATTAAAGGTAAGCTCCAGGAAGTCTGTAACCATTTGCATTCTATGGTTAAGATACTACAAGAAGCTCTTACCCTGTGTGATCGACCTGAGGATTCCACTGTACTACTTACCTGTAGTGATGAGACTAACAAGTCACTAAAGGTTGATCAGTCACAAAGGTTGGTACTTAATTGTTTTAAGTTTTACTGTCCTTAAAAATATTTCTTTTTTTTTCTTATAAGCATGTCCAATTAGTGGTTTTATAAGTATATATATATATTTTCTGTATTCTTATTTAGAAGTAGCATATTCCATGTATTGTAATAACTTTTTCATCACTCTACATCTAAAATGTCAAGAAATATGTAATTTTAATATTTTTTTTCTTTAGTTCAGAGTCATTCAGTATTGTTTATACACATTCTAGGGTATTGTTATATTGCTTTGGTTGTTATAGTTATTGTGCTGAGTGTATGCCCACACGTTTCTTTCCTAGTGAAGCTCACTGGTTGCATTTTATTTTAGTTGGCAAGGCAATTTCCATTTTTTCATCTAGTTGTTTACTGTGATGTGCTTTGTTTTTGAATAAAAAAGAAATGTTTGTTAATGTGCATTTATTAAAATTTTTTGCTGATATTTTACTTTTTTGTCTGCCTTCATTGAAACTTTTTATTTTGTTTTAAGACTGAGTACCTCTGGCCAGTATGCTGGTCTAGGAGTTCATTGTCGTAAATTCCTGCTTTTAAATCTGATTTTTTTAAAGTGTATAATAGATTCAGTGTTATTTAAAGATGCTCCCTGGTGGACCAGTGGTAATAATGGGGGGTTTATGATGCAAAAATATTGAGTTTCATATTCATGATAGGCACATCATAAATAGCCCATTGTTTAGTTTTACGCTTAGTAACAAACAAACAAGTCAGTTAAAGTTAATTAATGAATTGTGTGGGATTTCATGAATAACTGATTGGTTTACTAGAAATTTTATCAATACATTGTGATATATACAATTTTCATCCTAAATGTTTTAGACTGCCACAGGCATAGGACAGCTTGAGAACAGCATTTAGAATTACTTGTAAGCTAGAAAAATACATGTTTAACACTTTTGTTTTTCTTGTGAAATATAAATTTTTATTGTGAGCCATGTAGAAATGTTTATAAACTGTTATGAAACTTCTTTAATAAAATCTCACTTCATATTGTTGGGGTGCTTAACTCGCAATCTGAGGGTCGCGGGTTCGAATCCCCGTCACACCAAACATGCTCACCCTTTTAGCTCTGGGGGTGTTATAAAGTGACGGTCAATCCCCCTGTTCGTTGGTAAAAGACTAGCCCCATAATTGGCTGTGGGTGGTGATGACTAGCTGCCTTCCCTCTAGTCTTACACTACAAAATTAGGGACGGCTAGCGCAGATAGCCGTCATGTAGCTTTGCGCGAAATTCAAAACAAACAATCATCTTGTTGGATTTTTCTGTTTTCGTCATGAAACAGTTGATAAGTTAGTAATTATCATACAGTAGTATTAAAGTGTGAAGTATGATACTTTGGTGTGTTTAACCAAAGAAGTTAATTACTTGTAGTTTGTTGTGCAGTTGATTATTATTATAAAAAATGACTATTTTGTGGCCTTAAGCAAGCATTTGGTCAATATTTTTGTAACCAAGTGTTTGGTCAATATTTTTATAGTTGATTGTTTTAATAAACAACAAAAAAAACTTAACTTAGATGTATTTCTAATAGCAGAGACAAAATTAACTTTGGACTTCCTCCCCAGTAGAATACCCATTCTTCCACTCATCTTAATTATTCATTAGTACTTGTAATTGGTGAGTCATTTCAGAATCAAGAATAGTGACAAAATGCAGACTATTTATAAAAGTGCCTTCTAATTTTAAAAATATTCAATAACATTCATCAGAATCATTTTTTTTTATTCCTGTAAACTCCCAGTGGAGCATAAGGCCGCAACAACACCTCGCCAACAGAAGGTGTTGTTGAAGTTACTAGTAGTAGGTTGGTTTTTACGGGGTGGAGTTGCTAGCCCCGTGCCCAACCCTCCCCCTTTCTCACCTGGACTTGGGACCAAGCAAAGGCAGAGGTTGGCATGTTTGGTGTGATGGGGATTCGAACCCGTGACCCTCAGATTACGAGTCGAGCGCCCTAACCACCTGGCCATGCCGGGCCATCATCAGAATCATTAATAACATATAACTGTTCAGTTAGTATTAACATTGCTACCAATAATCAATTAATAATCAATAATTGATTAGTTATGCATAATTTAATGAATTTAAATCCAATTCCCACTGCTAATTACTTGTTTCATACATAATTTGATATTTATTATAAATCTGCTGCTTGTGGTTTTAATTATTATTCCTTTATTTCATGTTTTTAATGTTTATCTTGCCCATAAGACATCTCAGATACGTGTTAACAGGAAGTATTATTCTAATCCCAGGTATCCAAGGATAGGTGTTATAAAAAGAAAATTGTCATTACTTAACATAAGATATTTGTTTTACTAAGTGAAGTAATCACTGTTTATCATTAAACTAACCTTAGAGGAGTTTACTCAAATGTATATTCTTGCTCATTTGTTGGTCAAAATATACTTAACACTGTTTACTCCAAGGAATATATGGTTGGATAAGCAATACACCTATCAAGTTTCTAAACTGTAATAAGACGGTTCATCCATCAACAGTAAATTGTATAAAAATCCAATGTTATTAATTTTTCTGTATCCCAGAATAATCATCATTTGTTCTGTGTAGATTTTAAATTCTCTTTAAAACATCTGTATTTTTAATCATTTAGCATTTGTCTGTTTTTCACTTCAGGTTTGTATTTGTTAGTATTTTTTTTGGCTTTCTCTTAAATGTGTGCCTCTGATGTTTTACTTCTTTTTATTAGTGTAACAAGTACCATTACTCCTGTACATGTTCAAGCTAAGAATAAGAAGAGTTTTCTTGGACAAAACAAGAGTACAAAATTCGAAAAACCTGCGGAAAATCTTCTCAAAAAACATAAAAGTGACACATCTCAAGATACACCCTGTTTGTTGAAAGTTTCTCAGTTTAAATCAAACAACCAAGCACCTGCAAGTGAAATGACACCCATTATTGAACAGTCTTTCTTAGTGGAGGAAGAGGCTCTACCTTTCTTAATTGAAGGTAATTTTTTGTTAAATTTATTAAATACACAAAAAAGGTAGTATTGTTTAAACTGATTTTCTAAAGCTTATGAAAAAAAAAATTTTTTTCAACATAACTTCCAAACAAAACAAATTTTAAAACCTAATCAATTTCTTGAGCAAAAAAAGGTATTATTATCACCAGTGATTTTGCATGTGTTGTAACTTGTTTAAAAAAGCTACAACTAAAGTTGAATTGAATCTTCACTCAAGTAATATAAAATGACCAAACTGTAGCTTCAAAGTATATTTATTATAACATTCCTTTAATCTGAATATTAATAATGTAGCAGTTGATTGAATTAAATAGCTTATAGCTGGCATTATAGTACATTATTACCTCCTTTCAAGCTGAGAAAATATTACCTAGTTATTGGCCAAGGTAGCTTTCGTATAACTTACACTACATTTCATTATAATCTTTGATAAAGTATTGTTAGTGTGTAATTGTTTTAAACTTTTTCTCTTTCAAAATTTGATATATACTTTTATACCTACTTATTTGTCCCATTATTTTCTAAAACTAACAAAACTACTTCATGGCCAGCCCTCCACTGGCTCAATGATAAGCCTGAAGGCTTATAGTTGTAAAAACCTGATTTTGATATCTTTGTTGGGCACAGCACAGATAACCCATTGTGTAGCTTTGTGCTTAAGTACAAATAAACAAACTTGGTGGCCAGATTTTTGGTTATTTGGCTGAAATACTACTCAGTACATCTCTTTAAATCACGTGCTGTGATATGTAAAGCTTGGTTAATTTTCTTAAATATCATCCTTTAGCTTAGATGTTAGAAATATTTCTTACAATGTATACTAAATTACATTTATGAGGCTTAATGTTAGATAATGATCTAAGGGTTAGTCTGGTTTGATAAGCATCAGTTTCTATGAACAAATTTCAGTTAATGGTCAACTTGAATGATGCTAGTCACATTTTAAACACTGCATGAGGTGAAATTGAAATTGGCACTGAGTAATATATGATTAAGTATCTGGGCATTAAATATTTAATATCTGTTGTTTAAAGGTTTTGGCCGGATGGTAAACTTTCATATAAAAGAATTTATGTCTGTCTAGAATAAATCACAAATTACTTATATTGTATAACTTATTCACTCATTTCTAATGATAAGTGAGTGCCATTATGTTACTAACCAGTATTTAAAAGCATACTTCACATCTTACAGATAAAGATACCACAAGTGTTTTAATATCTGATGATATCATATCTCACGTGCACATCAACAACAAGAGGAGGTACTCATCAAGAATTGAAGGGAAGCAAAAGTCACTAGAGTTTGTAGAAGAAATACATACAGGAAGTGGAGATGGTGACAGTCTTGATTTGTTATCAGAAGGAGGGTTAGCAGAAGAAACCCTAGAATCTTGTAGGCAGTTTCATCCTTCTGTTTTACTTGAAAGACTATCACATGATCCAATTACAGGTAGCAATCTTGGTGATATTTTGCCCAATACAATAAAATCAAAACGTGCAATAGAAGAACAGGAATTTAATAACAACATTGATTTGTCTGTCACACCCAAGTTACCAAAACTTCATAGTAAGATTCCTGTTGTAAAATCTTCAAAAACTGAAAGTGATAAAAAGTTAAACTCGGCCCAGAATCGTAGAGATACATTCACTGTGCCCATACTACAGCAGTCAAAGAGAAAGGAAATATTTCCTGTGAATTCATTTGAGGAGAATTCTAGAAGAGGCACATTTGTTGTTCAGAGATTGAAAGAAGACTCCAAATCTAAAACTGATACCAAATCAATTGAAAAAGTTTCACTAAGTCCAAGCCAACAAGAAAGTGACACTATTTTAATCTCAAGGACATTTAGTGTAGTGGAACCAAACCAAGATATTTTGAAGCCTGAGTTGCAGGGTAATCAAAGTGATAACTCTAAGGAAATTGAAACTTGCTTATCAGGCTGCTCAGTTGGTGTTGTGGATGTGGGGACTTGTGGCCCAAAGGAACCCTCAGTAAAGAGCAGTTCTGAAGACAAAAGACTGCTTCTTTCTCCTTTGGTGTCTCAAAGGCACAATGATAAGAGTAAGCCTGTTCACCATCCTTGTTCACAGGAGGAAGATGCCACATGTGTTTTACCAGAAGATATGGAGCTGACTTGTACTCTAGACACCTTAGTAGCTAGTCAGTCAAGATCCTTAATAACAACAGATCCAGTGGATGGAACTCATCATCCACAAGGATCATCAGTGGAACAAAACCATAGATCACAAGCCAAACTAGCTGAAAAGGTTGAACTATCAGGAGAAAAATCCATCACTTCAGTGGCAACACTTGACCATGAGCAAACATTTAGTGAAGATAATGATGATGACCCAGAGTATGTTCCATCACCAAATAAACATAATAGAAGAAAAAATAAACAAAAAACTGGTGGAAATTTGCATGGGAAAAACAGAAAAGAAAAAATATTCCTAATTTTCGATTCTTTTCCAATAAGGGTGGCTACATATCTAGTAATTCTAAGACCAAGAAAGTTGATAATCAGGCAGGTGGAAAATCTGTTGAGCCAACCCAAACCGATAAGCTGCATTTCTCAGTGTACGATTTGTCTTTGAATGAATCTAATGCTCAACCAAATGCAGTTCCTCCTGATACAGAGCAGGACAAGATCAGATCAGTTGTTGAAAAAAAGAATGCTGAAGACGAGTTTCTTGTTGATAATGCTAAGTGTTTAGTGAAGAAACGTAAGAACCAAGGCAGTAGTGTACCACAGAAGAAACCTTACCTTGATCTTGAAGAATGTCTAGCACATGGAAACCTCACCAAAACTAATGATAGTGTAGTTGAGAACTCTAAATCCAAGAGGCCAGAATGTAAGAAGAAACAAAGAAAGATTTGTATTGATAAAGCTACATCCAAGAAAAATCATCACAGTGAAGGCATATCACAGGCTAAGGATGAAAAGACACTAGCAGACAATATACAGAATTCTCCCAAGGATTCCCAAGTGTTATTCTCTGTTGTTAAGTTAGAAGATATTTTCAGTAGTTCACCTCAAGAGGAAAAGAATGATTTATTTAAAGAAAATATGGAAAAGTGTAAGGAAAATACTTCAGACTTAAGAAGTGTTATGTGTAAACAGAAATCAGACAAGAAAAAAACGAAGAAACCTTCAGTGAGGCACACAAAATTATCAAAACCACAAAACCTCATTGAAATGCCACATGCTGAACAAGAAGGTCTTTTATCACCCGAAACAAATTCAGTTTCTACAGACAAATTGAAACCCTCCTTTGATGATCCTGTAGTGGCTTTAAATGTTTTAACTCTTAAAAAAGATGCAGAAGATGACCGTGATGACAAGGAGAACAAAGAGACTGTTTTCACAGATATTCAAGACACAGAAGTTGCAGTTGAAGAAATAAAACGTAAGTTTTAACTTGTTGAAAAAAACCAAGATATTATTTTACCTTTGAAATGTTTGAGACCAGGTAAAAAAAGTCATAAACTGGCTATTATAAAAGTATTTTAACTCACTAAATGCAGATATAGTGGTGCTTTGAAATTTGGTATGTAACTTAAAAGCTAAAATTGGTCAAATTGGGAAATACGTTATTTAAAATATCAGGATATTTTAATTATTCACCATTTCATAAAAAAATAAATAAAACTTCTACGATATGAGAATATTTAATATTAACAAAAATCAGTGAGTGTGTTTAGAGTAGAAATATTATGAACAATTTGTCACCTTGTTAGAAGAAATTTGAAGAAAACATAATGATTAAATATTTGGTAACCTTTACTGAGACTGATATTAAATGGTTCTTTTAGCCAGCTTTAAAGCTTCGTGAAATACACCTTTCAACATTTTTAAATATTAATTAAATTGTAAATTAATGTATTTTTTTTAATGTATTAAATTGTAAATTAATGAAATTTCTTAAAACTCCCACAATAATTTCTTCACATTCTGGGTGGTGTAGTTGAGTGATAAGCTAGTCAACATTATCTGGTTGATCTAGTTATTGAAGAGGGAAGAAAATGACAGAAACAATATTATTGAAATAAAAGATGCAAGTAAGCTCACTAATTTTTATTTTTAGGTATATCTCATTTAGAAGTCGTTCGTAAAGATTTACTGAAGTTACAAGTAATAGGTTTTATCTTAGAAAGAAACAAAATTCTGCGCTAACACCAGTTTAATGTAGTAAAGCTACAGAATAACATGTTATGTCATCGAATGAAAAGACGCATTGGGGGAAAGAACAAATATTATAGATAATAAATACAACACAGTAATTCTCTTTATTTATGTCCGTCGATGAGGAATAATATGCTACTAAATTTTTGAGTGAGTTATAGAGCAAAATTGGTCTTCATGTTAACAGATAGGGATTTTTTTCTATTTTTGTGACTTTGCTGTGACTTCGACCCTCCACAAACTAATCACTTCTAAGTTGAGTCATAGTCCAAATGTATATCAACTTTCACCCAAATCCATTTGGCTGTTTTTGAGAAATTTTGCTAACAAATGCACACACAGGGGTGAAAACATAATCTCTGTCCATCTTGGGTGGTGAAGGTAATAAACAATAGTTTAGTTTCAAGTTCCTGTAGTCTTAATAAGGCAATTTTTTATATGTTCAGATATTTTAAAGATCAAATAAAAAAAGCTATATTTTGATTATTTATTGTCTTGTGTTTCAGTAATGGGGTGCATGTAAATATTTAAGTCCAGGAAGCAGATTACCAAATATAGTTAGTAACGTACAACATTATAGATATTACCTTGAATTAGTAAATGTTGATTTTTCCAGCAATGAAAAAGTTGTATACTGATGTCTGGTTTCAGTTACAATTTGTAGTGGTATAGTAGTTAGTTCATTCTGTTAGTGTTAAGTGAAGTAGAAAAGAATGTTCAAAGCATATCTAGTCCTGTCAACTGCATAAGTAACATGTGTTTCCCATGTTAAACCCCATATCTCATCTGATTGTTGTTATCTTAGCAGCTAAAATGTTGTGCTGTTTTCTTAGACTTTAATATTTTGTGTTCTGTCTGATTCTGTACATTTCAACAATTTCACCATATCAGTGTGTTAGATTACTGTTTGTTTGAAAATTGACACCATTGATTTAAGTGAACCTTTTGGTTTCTTTGAAAACTTTGAGGTAAGTGCAGTCAAGTATTCTTCTTTGTTGGATTCCTTCATAGTGATAATTCCTTCTGGAAACATGATCTAACTCGTATACAAGTTTGAAACCGTATGTTTACTGAATACATTGAGAAGCTAGTCCAAAAGTTTTATTTTGTTTTTTCCCACAATTACAATTAAAATACTACTTTCAAAACTTACATGATGTAATCCAATTCAGACAAAAATTTAGTATTTAGTGTTTTTTTCTTATGACAATCCCCCTCCTTTCAGAAAACACAGCATTGTCACAGAAAGTCATAGCTTTTGAGGTACTTTTAACAGAACAACCCAAATCTTTTCTTCTTTTATGGCAGCTTTCCCCAATCTTTTCATTGCATGAAAGAGTACATTTTGTGAGTAACTTTTACTGTTACCTTAATTGCAGTTATATTTTATTTGATGATCCACTGTATATTCATTTCACTTCATAAGAATGATGTTCAAAGTTCCTTGCTGCTCGGGGAATACTTCTTTCACTGTCAGTATTGCTGAATTTGATGATAATGATTATGCTTGTTGCTCAACACTTAATTTCTATTATAACAAACTTCTGCTGAGGACAGAAAGTTTGATCTTAGACCACATATTTTGCCAAACTTTTCAATGAAAATTTGGGTGGATGCTGGTAGTGTTTAGAAAGGTATAGAAGTCCACTGAAACTACACTGACGGACCTTGACTGGTGTGTGATTGAATGGAGCCATCCTACACATGAAAACAGATGGGATTTTTGAAGTTTGTCTTGAATCTTGTAAACTTTTGGTATGTGAAACTCTGACAATTTCAAAATCATTGCTTATTATTTTGTTAATGGTACCAGGAGATATGACATGCTTTAATTCAGGAATATAAAAAAATCGTTTTGATGTAAGGATGAGAAATGTACTACCCCAAACTGAAATTATACTAGCCCAACTGTTTTTTTTATTCACTAAAATGACTAAATTATAACAAAATATATATCAATAATGTTATCCACAGTATTACTAACCTAAAAATGATATTGAAAGCTGAGCTCCCAGAGTCTTGTTTCTTATTTAAGGTTCAGTTAGTATTCTTCCTAACTTCTTACAAATATTCTAATTAATTTTGAGAATATGAAAGTTAACTTGGAGATATTCACATAGATTGTACAATTATATATTAAATTACTAATATTTAATTTGGCTTACATTTGTATGGCCTGTTGCTATAGTGCCAAGCAGATGTATTAAACAGTAGGTTAGTAGGCTGATTCGTTAACTGTTAAGATGGCAAAATGGAACAACTATGTTAGGCCCAATTGTTAAAAATAACTGATGTTACATCTTCAAAATCGTAATAAATTATGTTAAAAAAAGATAAGCATCTGGCTTAGCAAGTTAAACCTTTATAGCTTTTGTTCTGAGTGACTGTAGATAAAATATTAATCTTTTTAATTTCTTATAATTATTCTATTTAATTTTGAGACTACAACAGCCAACTTGAATTAGTTTGTGCAATTATATGCCAGATTGTTGATGCTAGGCTGAGCCTGTGTTTGTTTGTCCTATTTCTGTAGTGTTGATTAGAGGTTAGCAATCTTGACCTCCACCTTGTGATATTAAAAATACACTCTCATCTTATTTACATTGAGAACTTGATGTAAAGAAATTTTCATAACTGAAAAATAACTGAATAACATATACATGAAAAAATAACAGTAGGCTGTTGACAACCAGTTTCCTCTCTGTGGTCAGTGTTTCAAAATGAGGGACAGCATTACACTTTCTGAACTGTGCGCTGATACACTTGTTGTGACAGGACTCTTTTAATTGGAGGGAGAAAGACCTGTACTATTGGCAAGTGCTAAGATCTAGTGTGTAATGAAACTGAGACTAATATGATTTACTACAGCGTATGTGTTACAGATGTAAGATTTGTAGGCAGATTAACCAGTCTACATAAGAAATTTACTAGTATCCCCGAAGTATTGAAAATATGATTTAATTCAAAAATATATAAAAAAATTTAAAATCTTTGGCAGGTCACCTAGCCTGCATATACAATAAAATTAAAACAACACACAGCAGTCTGACATTCAGAAAATATCATCCTTTTTTTTTGAACCAAAGAAATAGGCTGCCGAATTCTGAGTGGGCAGTCTGATCATATTGCAACAAATACAGTTGTTTATTAATAAGAGTTTGCATGGAAAAATAAGTAATCTAATCCCAATGAAATATAATGATGTTGATTAGAAAGTTTGGTATATATGAAACTACGTGATTAGACATTTCAACTTGAAAATTGGTAATTGAGTCAGGTGTGTTTTTATATCAGGCTTATGATGGATTAACCTACCATCGATAAACAGACTGCTGATCTCTCAAAAATGTCAGTGACAGTACATATTTTGATTGGGATCATTTAGTGTTTTCTGTTACTGATTCATTTCGCCACTTTCCCAGAGAGATCGGAATTGTCTAATCAAGTTGAAACTCCAACAGAACATGTCTCTTAGACACCTCTCCACATTGGAAATTGTTACATTATTTGACAATTAATGTTGTCAGATGTTAGGCCATCTTCTA